GAATGGAGTTACAGGAGGAAATCAATAGACTTCAAGAGACTCTGACCCAGCTGAACAGCAAGAGCACCTGGAAAAGGTAGCCAGAAAGGACCTGGAAAGGAAACTTTCCCACACAAAATTACTATTAAAGCAGCAAATTCTGAGCTCTTAGACAAAGTTGCCAGAACTGAGACTCTGATCCAGCAGCTGAACAACACTCAAGACAAGCTTGACATGGTCCAAAGAGAACTCAGGTACTCTTATAGGCTGCAAAAGGAAACACAGTGGGAGAGACACCCTGCTCCTGCATCCTCACTCAGCAGTGCAAACTCTCTCATATGCACCAAGCTACGAAGGGGGGAGCCAACACTTTCTGCTTAACAACTCAGCAGACAGAACCATAATACCTCCAACAACCACAGAAAGGAGGAGGGGGTCCCTTCCAAGCATCCCTGCAGCAGCGCACGATGCGACCCCCAGAGACCTTGACAAGCTAGCCAGAAAGATCCCAGCATTCACATGGCCAGTAAAAAGAATAGTTTCCTACTTTATGCAGGACGAGCAGTAATTTAGAACATTGGCGTCGTTTTAAACATTGCTTGCAAGCAGACCCAGTAATCAATCTTATGTGTCTGTCTCATAAGTTTTAGTACTTTCTTATTGTGACATCGTGAGGGTATGTAACATGTAAGCTAAGGAAACCATACCACAATGTCTTGTTTAAGAAAACTTTATTTATTGTTTTTTCTTCCCTTGTTTCAGTCACATGGAAGGTGCACATTCCAGTGTGACTGGTGTTTATTGGTGTGGGGTCTTGGTCTTTGTAAATAGGAAAAGGTACATGGAAATTAGACAAATAATGTTTGTTGGATAATGATGATTCTCTTTGTCTTACCTTTCCCTTTGGAGCTTCCTAGTGGGAGGGGCCGGCCCGCAAACAGGAAGCCATATTTTTTCCATCCATGGGCAGGGAGGAGCTTACTCACTGAGAGTGTGGAGAATGTTATTTGAATGTTATTTGGGATGCATGTCTTTTAAAATGCACATTGGGTTTCATGATGGAAAATAGTGTGTATTAAAGAAGATGCTAATGTCAATGTTTGTATGATGATGTTGAAGATCATGGACATTTTCAAGTGAAGTTTGGGCTAATTAGATCGTAATTGAAATAGTATTATCATTGGACTGTTCGAATTTGAGGGGAGGAGCCCTTCTTATAAAAGCCTAACTGTTTGGTAAAGAAAAGGAAGAGAGGGACAAAACTGAATCTTAGTTGGATTAGTGGCCAACGCTCTCTTTATGTGAAGGGCCAATCCCCTGTGTAAGTTTTCTTTTGGTTTTGTTTTATTTGTATTTTTTTTCTGTTCGGAAACACATTGGATGACTTCTGTTCCATTGCTTGATGCATGCCTGAAATGACAATTAAAGCAACCTCAAGAGACTTCAGAGTTTTTTGCTTGTTTTTGCCGCCTACTTTGCCACTGCCAAGAACGTCCGCACTACAAATGGTGTCAGAAGTGGGATTGACGTCTCTGTGGGCTAACCATGGGCGGTAGACAAGGACAACTGGAAGTAGCAGGATGGCTGCCAAAGCGCATGCTGTTTCTCAGCGAGTTACCAGGGCTCACCCAGTGTTGTTTTTAGAAGAAGAGGATATACGGTGGATGCTGACAACGCGGTAAATGCTGAAGAAATGGATTTGGGCGTTGCTGCATGTGAGGAAGCTATTTTAGACTCTTTCTCTCGGGCTGTAAATGTTCAAGAAGTGGATACTGAACCTGTGGTACGACCCAAAACTGTGAAAGTTAGTACCCCTCGAGATAAAGCAGACCACATGATGCTGGAACAAGACTTTTTGAATGAAATGAGACAATTTATGCAGCAACAGCAAAGGAATGAGAAAATTTTGTTTGAAGAGTTGCATAACTTAAAGGCCACCATTCTCCCAAAGCCCAGGAGTGAATGGGGATTTGAGGAACAAGCAAGTCAATACACCCATCATCATTCCTTGCCTTTACCAAGGACTTATTTACAACCGTTGGGTGGGGTTACATCACCTGCGAAAAGGTACATGGAAATTAGACAAATAATGTTTGTTGGATAATGATGATTCTCTTTGTCTTACCTTTCCCTTTGGAGCTTCCTAGTGGGAGGGGCCGGCCCGCAAACAGGAAGCCATATTTATTCCATCCATGGGCAGGGAGGAGCTTACTCACTGAGAGTGTGGAGAATGTTATTTGAATGTTATTTGGGATGCATGTCTTTTAAAATGCACATTGGGTTTCATGATGGAAAATAGTGTGTATTAAAGAAGATGCTAATGTCAATGTTTGTATGATGATGTTGAAGATCATGAACATTTTTCAAGTGAAGTTTGGGCTAATTAGATCGTAAGTGAAATAGAATTATCACTGGACTGTTTGAATTTGAGGGGAGGAGCCTCTCTTATAAAAGTCTAACTGTTTGGTAAAGAAAGGGGAGAGAGGGACAAAACTGAATCTTAGTTGGATTAGTGGCCAATGCTCTCTTTATGTGAAGGGCCAATCTCCTGTGTAAGTTTTCTTTTGGTTTTGTTTGTATTTTTTTTGTTTGGAAACACATTGGATGACTTCTGTTCCAATGCTTGATGCATGCCTGAAATGACAATTAAAGCAACCTCAAGAGACTTCAGAGTTTTTTGCTTGTTTTTGCCGCCTACTTTGCCACTGCCAAGAACGTCCGCACTACAAATGGTGTCAGAAGTGGGATTGACGTCTCTGTGGGCTAACCATGGGCGGTAGACAAGAGCACAAATGTACCAATTCAGCTAAATTGATTTTTATTAAATTTGAGATTGAATTAAATAAAAAAAAAATTTAATATTTACTTTCCTTTTAATTTCCTACAGCTATTAGGACCCATTTTGTTTGAGTTATACAGGTTATTAGTAGCCTAATCCCTGTTTCCTCTCTACTTCTCCTCACTCCTCAGTGCCAGGCCTAATACATTGAAGGGCAGCTACTGTTCAACACAATGTAGGCCAAGATAGAACTAGGAACAATTCCCACTGTTTCTTTTTCTTTTTCTTTTGATGAGGTATCTGGTGTGTCCCTGCTAGTTTAGCTAACAGTCTAATACTGGGTTTATGAGTCTATTACAGAATCACCCGCAAGTGACACCTGCTTAGCCATATCTCTTAGAGAAAAAAACTTAAATAGGTAAAATCTTCCTTCTTCCTTATTTCTCTCCTTTTTACTGCCTAAACTTTCAGTTTTGTCATTATACCAACTGTTTGTAAACCCGTTGTGTTCAGTTGTGCTGTTTGTGATGGTCAGAGATCCAGTCTGATGATCCAGCTTCAGTCTGTTTCTGAGTTTCCCTTCAGAGCCATCATATGTACAGAAACATGCTTCATTTATTTCTCCTCTAGCGATGAGACTGTCCACAGCACCAGATCATCTTTTTATTTCAGTATTGTTGTGTAGCGTGACTGAACCTCCCTCCGTTTCAGATTCAGTCTTCTCTTTAATTTGATCCCAGCACCACACAGAAGAGTACAACATGAATGTTAGAACAAAATTAACTCTAAGTTGATGGATTTTCGTTTTGCACATGAGAAAGAACTGTACACGTTTGGAGCAAAACCTGCCTTTCGTCTTTTTCTGTGCAGAAGATCCCTGTGTACATTTATATCACCTCTTTGCAGCATTATACTTTTTAACAACTACGTAAACCCACTTTTATGGTATAATTTTGCTTTGCTGGTCATACCGTAGTAAATGTTTAATTTCTTGTCATGCTTTATAAATTAGATTAATAGCATAAATGTATTCAAATAAAATTAAAGTTTTTCCACGTTATTGCACTTTACTGTAAAATGCCCCTAATTTCTGATGCAGCAATGTAAATTTGCGAACATAATATTTTTTTCTGTCTTCTGGAGTTGTTTGCATCTTTATCTTGTAATGATAGCACTAAAATCATCCAAACTGTGATAAATAGAATTGAGTTACTCACTGTGGGCGATAAGCATGAATCTCTAGCATGTGCTCTTTTTGCCGCTGGTGATTTGAAGTGTATAGACGTCTGAATGAGCTCTGCTGATGTTCCTGATGGTCAGATCTCCTTCATATAATGTGGTCTGACGGCTGGCTCGGTTGACTTCAGCTATGAAAGAGTCTTTATCGCTAAACTTCCATAGTATCCTGTCATCACTCCTCAGCTCAGGAACATCAGTTTGTAGAGTGACAGACTCTCCTGCTGTATATCGCAGTGTGTTCACTGCCACAGCGAGAGAAACATGGAGAAGAAACGTGTGAATGTGAACATCGATACAGTTATCAATATACTTTGATAGCTACTCACGCCACACAAGAACGTTGAATTTCTTGTAAGAGACTTTAATGCTGCTCTTGATCTGCAGTTTGTAAACTCCAGAGTCGGTGCTTTTGGAGTTGGTGATGGTGAGATCTTCAGGTTTGTCTCTTTACTGCCGGTGATCTTCATCTGATAATCTCCAGAGATTGGGATCCTGACGTCGCTGATGGTCAGATCTCCAGTCTGATGGTCCAGCTGCAGTTTGTCTCTGAATCGCTCATCATCAGTGTACGAGATCTTACTGCATTCTGGTGGATTTGAGCAATAACCGTTTCCCGTTATAATCAGTGAAGCTACCTACACAGTAAAATCAGCAGTGTAATATTTGCAGTGTTAAAAGTTATTAATTCCCAAAGAGTTGAATTAACAATCTACAGTGTTAAACAGTACTCATGCTCAGTGTTGTTATATGGTGTAATTTCACTTTTACTCTAAAAGTGCGGAATAAAAAACCTGCAGAATTGTTTGGACTCTGCCCTTCAATGACTGCTGCCTCGCAATGCGACGATGCCATTTTTTCTTCAAGCGACCGAGATGTAAGTTGGATTGCTTTTCTCTTTATAAAAGTACACATTATCAACAACATTTTTGTTGATAATTTTACTCAAAATATGATTGGTGGTGAACACATTTAGAGATTACTAACTGCGCGTGTTTTTGTCAGGTTTAGTGTTAAGTTCGTGTTCGTGAGGTGCAGAGATGTAACGTTAAGTTACAGAAGAGTGTGAAAGTTTCTCATGCCGGTTCGATTTCCTGAAAAAAGGTGATTAATGTTACGTGTAAAATAACTTTTTGGAATGTGCTTACAATTTATGTTACATATGCTTTTAGCTTCTTTCATTTCAGTTCGCTGACAGAGCCTCTAGCCTCCATTCCCGCCGAGGCCTGGTTTTACTATGAGTCTGGCACTGAAGTCTGAAGCAACCACATTTCTTCTCAAATGAGAGAATTCATCAAATGGTAAATTTATATTTGTTTTTGAAAGCATTGAGTTTGGCATTTCGCAGTTTCCATGCTTTGAAACGGTAATAGTGGGACTGTTAAACATTACGCGCTAACAATTTCGTTTTTGTGACGCATAACACCGTGTTGAAGTGTCTGTCTCGCCCGCTGCAAACAAGCAGTTTCTCTGCAGACAGAGCTGGCATAACGCGGAACATTTACCAGTCATTTGATTGACGTTATCTAATGCAAAACTCTGAAATTAGAGCGCGTTTAAAAACTTCCATTCGCCATAGGCTTAAGTGTGAACCAATCACAGCACACCTCGCTTTTCAGACTGATGAGCTTTGTAAAAATCGAAAGGCGGGGCATAGAGGAGAAACAAAAACGTACAGTATGTGGAAAATAATGTTTTTTTAACGTTAAACCACATAAATACATTTCATTACACCAAATACACAAAATAATGTTCTTTTTAGCAACATCACATGACCCCTTTAATGAATGTGACTGACTAATTAACTTCTGATATATATTTTAAAGTTGCCACTTTGCCCATTTGTTAAATAAAAGTTGAAATTTATACATCTGTCTGAAGACTCTTGATTTTATGTCTAATCTTGTACATTAACACCATACAATAGCATTTTTTTGTTTGCACTGAAAAGAATACTTTATTAATAACACTTAAAGGATTAAAACAACACCAGGGGTGTTAAATACCCCATAGTGTAAAATTTGAACAACAATAGCAAGTGTAACACTTTACACTTGGAGTGTAATTTTTGTACACTGTAAGGTGCTATATTAACACTAAATATTCAACACTACGAACAGTGTACTTTTAACACTAGACAGATTGGGACCATATATTATCTTTAGTAGTGTTAAAATCAACACTTTAAGTGTTAAATTGACACTGCGTTTTTTACTGTGTACACTGTATCATGAATACATTTTTATATTATTTTATATTTATTATTTAATATAATATATTAAATGTTATATTATTGATCAATATGTGAATCCGTTGACCAGGCTACACATGACACGAGTTCTGGTCTCATTGCCACATTAATTTAGATGAGATTATATCAGATTAGTTGGAATTAAGCTGCTTCCTCAAGCTTTTTATGAAGTTATGTGCAAACATACAGACGTTTGTTATAAAGCAATATTGCAACTGCTTAAAAGCAATCTACTTTAAGCTATTAAAAAGGTCAAGAGCCCAACTAAAGCAAACACTGATCTCCATGATTTGTTGACATAATCATTAAAAAAAAACATAACTCGGTCACTACATGATGATTAGTTTAAAACATAATCAACACCACATGATCACCTTTCCGCTGGTTTGTCTGGCTGTTTTAACTCAGTTACCGCAGCCAAACAAAATCTAATATTAGCAATTTAAGGGTCAAGATCCAAACTAAAGTAAACACTGACCACTATAATGGTGACATAGAAATTGTGATTTTCGTCTTTGGTGATTCTGTTTGTTAACATCAGGTGTCTTCAATAATGGTCAATCATCATTAATTAATCACCTAATTACCTCATTAACTTTAACACTGCTTCAGTGTTACTTTTATGCCGAGGCACAAAGACTTTCACCATTGGCTCTGGCTTCGGCCAATTGTTATTGACTTACAGTTCAAAATAAAACTATAAATTAAACATTGTTTCTAGTTGATCTAAAATAAAATATGCTATATATATAAATATTCTCCGTGAGAGCAGAGCCCAAAGCTCGTGAACCCTGCACCAGACAGAGCTGTCTGCGATTCTTCCTATTGTGAAGTCATGCAATGTGAAACCCCCTGTCGCTGATCCATCGTGCAATGTGAACACAGCAGCAACTGACTGCTACTTCAGATAGTCACGCAGTGTGAAAACAACGGCGATCCGATGAGTTTGAAAATCGTGCAGTGTGAACTCGGCATTAGTGTCGACCCATATAGACACAGATCACCGATCAGTGTTAATTTAACACCAGGGATTTTGCTGTGTACTTAAAAAAACCTGGTACCGTAACGTTTTCATTTTTTAGAACCGACTTGGTACCGAAGTACGGGGTCTTTTGACAGCACTGGGCTACCCCTAGCAGCAGTAAGTTTAAGACAACATGCATATTATATACTGCATAATTTAGTATAGAGCTTGGGAAACTACGTCATTGCGGATTGCATTTTGGGTAGTCGACACCATGTTTTAAGACATGCTAAGTAGTGTACAATGACAACAAATACAAATCACCAGAGGAAAAACGACTATATTTATGTTAAATTTTTAAAGTGCTGCTTGCACTCGCTTAGAATAAATGGACTAATATTTAAATCCCTTGTGTTCATTCGAGCGCTGTCGTGTGGCCAGGACACGACACATACACACTCAAAGAAATCATATGGCCGCCTTTTATCATACGTACCACACACGTGACCAAAGTGATTTTTTTCAACAGAATACCTCAAAGGGAAACTCAACCCAAGACCGAGACGAATCTATCTGCTGCACAAAATCCACAAACCCTGTGACAAATGGCTGACCCCTTTTATGCCTCCCGGACACCCCATCGTGTCAGACTGTGGCAGCAAAAAAATTTAAAAATTGCAGAATACATTGACGTTCATTTGAACCCTTTGTCCAACTATGCGGTGCAAAAGGGGCTATAGACAGACATAACCTGCAAAGGAAATTTATGTGGAAATACAATGTGAATGTGTTATTTCTTTTTAAATCATCAATCACTCATCTATTTTAACTGAATAGGAGAGTATTGGTTTATTAATTTATTTTATAGGCACAAAAATAAAAAAACATTAAAATTCAAGTGGAAAAAGTCTTACATACTTGATAGAAGCAACAAGAATAGATAGCTTTCTGAAAGAAAAAAAAGTTCTTAAAAATTATTTTATAATAATACAGAACGATAAAGAGTAATGGTTACAGAAATACTTTTTCTTCAATAGATAGAATAATCATGATTACTGATTGATATATTCTTAAATAAGAAAAGGGCAGAGGTGTAAAGTCCAGGGGTCAGAAAGTAAAAGTCCTGCCATTGACTTCTTTTCTTGCTCTGCCTTTTGCCTCTCGTTTCTCCAGATCTCTGTTCCTCAGTTCCTGCCCTGGCGTTACCTGAGCCGTGTATTAGGCTTCTGTACCCCGGCCCTTCTCTGCGTGCTCAACAGGGAACTCCCCACTCTGACGTTGCGTCAGCACTGACGCTGGGACTCTGTGCGCTGATCTCTCCACGCCTTTCCCTCTCTGCCTTGTGGAGTGTCTGGATGCTCGTTTGAACTGCTCCTCTCTTCCTGTCTACATCCTCCGCCCTGGATTACGGCTCCTGGCCTTCTGCCTTAGCCGTGTTTTGTGTGAGACTTTAATAAACTTTTGAGTTGAACCAACTGAATCCGTGTTTTTCCCTGACAACACTATGAAATGAATATCTTACAGATTCGTTCACACATTTGCACTTCGTTGTTTCGGACGAGATAATTCGCCTGAAAGAGGTATTCAGGCAGCGAGCCAGTGAAGAAAACACTTTGAATGGACATGACGCCTTTGGATCTGTGTACTAGTGATGTCCGGTTCGCGAACGAATCGTTCGATTTAACCGGTTCTTCTTAGTGAACCGGTTGAACCAGTTCACCCAATCGGTCTGAATCATTTGAAACGGTTCGCGAGACCAGTAAGCATTAATCCACAAATTAATTAAATTATTCACTTTTTTTAATCTGGCTGACACTCCCTGTGAGTCGAAATAAACCAGTATCCCGGAGTAATTCATTTACTCAAACAGTACACTGACTGAACTGCTGTGAAGAGAGAGCTGATGATGAAAAGCAGCAAGTGTGCAGCGAGCCGGATAACGAACGTACATTCCCACTGCTGGAGCGGTTCTCGTTTTCGAGTCAAGAACCGGTTGCATCGGTTTTAGGATCACCGGTACACTCAACCGAGAACCGTTTCTTTAGGACGCGTCCGATTTGAGAACCGATGAGCTGATATTGCATTGCATATTGTATGTTCAGGGATGACAGATTGAGAAGCAGACATGCTATTTATGACTGGATGTAACTTTTCATACTTTGTAGTAAAAGTGGCTCTCCTATTAACTTTGTCCTATAAGTGCGGCTCTCGTGAAAAAAATAGTGAAGATCACTGTGTTAGATCATCCCGGCCCAGGAGGACAGACTTGATATCATTACGTCATCACGTTAGGGCGTATAATAACAAATGAATCGGTTTTTTTGAAACGAACTGTCCGAAAGAACCGTTTCGCGGAAAAGAACCGGACTTCCCATCACTACAGCACTACTTCCTCTGATAGTTATTGTGAGGAAACTTTTAATCTGTCATGCTTATAAACACTGTATATGAACTCCGGTACTAGCTAGACACACACAGACATCAAGAACCAGCATATGAATCTCAACAATGGTGACAAACAACAAAATGCTTCATGCTGCAATGCATGCTGGGTAACACCATAGTAAAAACTCCCATCATGCACTGCAATATGACTACTTATTGTCACCACTGTTGAGGATCGTATGATAAGTGTTCATGTCTAAAAGCGTGAGCCAATAGAAGTCTTTTTTTTATACATATATTTAAGCATTACAGTGGCATTTGTTTAATAGGACTTTTTTGCAGTAATAACTGAACGTCAGTCAATAAACCAAAGAGAAACACCTTCATGATGTTCATTCGAGTGACTTAAAAACAGAAAGTGTAAACGAGCCTGCTACTTAAAGCGTTGGATTTAACAATGCTCAAACATTTGTTGTGAAACAATATAGCAATTGCTCAGAAGCAAGTTGCTTAACATTGCTAAAAACTCTAGAGTCAAGAGACAAACTAAAGCAAACACTGACCACAATTATGGTGGCATCGTGTGTGTGTGTGTGTGTTTTCCTTTCCTTGACCACTCAAATATCAACGTCTAAACCTCTGTTAATTCTCAATAAGAGATTCTGCCGACATAAAGTCAATCTGGTTAGTAATGAGTGAAGCTGGTGATGCTGTTTGGAATATTTCCGCAAGTTCTTGATTAGATTTTTCATTTCCCACATTTTTTTTGTGATTTCGCTGTAATGAGAAATGTTTGAGAAAAGCATGATTTAGAAAGGACTCAAAGTACAAATATAAAAGTTACATATAAAAGAGAAATACATTTTTTGCTTATGTGTAAACTGTCACAGTTATGTTCGTTAGTTTTAGTTCATGGACTTTTAGCTTTGTTATACAGACTTCTAGTATGTTTTCCATCAGTTTCCAGTTTCCTTTGTCTATGTTTCCCGCATCATTTGTAATCATTAGTATCCAGCTGTGTTTGATTTATCATCTAATTTGGTTTGCTATTTAAGTTGTGCCTTTACAGCCAGTCTCTCTCCGGTCACCGTTATGATAAGTTTTGTGTATTACTGTCTGTCTGTCTGCTTTTGGAGTTATTATTAAAATTTGATTGTTTGACACTTGATCCTTAGAGCAGGGGATCAGTGTTGCCAATTTAGCAATTTTGTAGCTAGATTTAGTGACTTGCCCACCCCGTTTTAGACTTTTTTTCAAAAGTTTAGGGACAAATATAGCAACTTCTTGGACAAGCCTTATCTGAGTTCTCATCTTGCCCACTGATCTATAGTCATCTTTATATAGATCAGTGAATTTGCCATTGTGATGTCATCTAGTGACATTTAGCTACTTTCAATTGAAAGCAGTTGGCAACACTGCAGGGCAGGTTGCTTTTTGAACGCACCTGTGAGTATTTGTGTGCACTCTGAAGTGTATTACAGGGGTGTATTCCAGAAAGCACGGTTAACTTACCGTCAGCTAAACCCTGAACTTTCGGTTGATTAACCCCAAACCTTGCTTACTCGAGGTATGTGGTTCCAAAAACGCATCAGGGAGTAAGTTCATTAAACTCAGAGTATGTTCCTGGTTAAGACTCAAGACATTCTTAACAGAGCGACGAATCGACGAGTCACTATGGAAACGGACACTAATTAAAAGCGCATCATGCTGTTTCTTTCTTCTTCTTTTGTTCAATGCTCGTTTACATGCTTAGTGCATATCGCCACCTAATTGATGGTTATGCAATCATTTTTATTTA